GTTTTCAAAACCGGATATCACGGTTAGTAGAGGCCGGTCTTCGGACCGGGCGAAAGGGGGTGCTCATAGCTGACCTTCCCCGATCGTACCCAAGCTCCCGAGCCGAGACAACTCCGGTGATGACGAACATGTGGCCGTCAGCACCGAGTCAGGGTTTCCTAAATTTCCCTATTTTAAAATATTTAGGTGGCGACTCTGTATCTGGAAAAGCAGTCCATGTTTGGCACAACTTTTTCAAAAATCTGTTTCTCAAAACGATTTGCCAGATTTGGACTCTTTGGTTCAGATTAAGAACCGTGACACAAATCGAGAGTCCGAACTGTAGCAGCGAGGTCCCCCCCCGCGGGCGTTGTTACAGTTTCTGGCGACTCTGCTGGGGAAATTTAGAGAGTTTGACTCGAACTCGTGATATCCTGTTTTGATCTCATTTATGTGTTTCTTTGCATTGCATGTGCATTGGTGCGCCTAGGAACACAGTGTTTGCCGTCTGCCATTCCTGAACGGTTTGCCGGAGGCTTGTCTTGTCAAGGCATGTCCGTAAGGCTGACCGGCTATGGGCTCTGACAGCATGGGAACGCAAACCCCGCTTTACCGGGGCACCCCTTTTGACCATTCGACCTAGTACATGTTCGAATCCATAGTGACCATTCCAAGTTAGGACAGGTTGCTTACCCGATAGGTTGTTTGAAACCGCTGCATGCGTAGTGAAACCCTAGTTCCTGACAAAATAGGACAGGGAAACCCTACCCCAACATACGGGTGATTGAGCTCTCTTTACTTGCTATGTGTTTTTAGAGTGTTGCTCTACAGGAACGCACATGTCATGTGCTTTTAGAGTGTATCTCTACAGGAATGCATATACCAGTTTGCGAGTTTGAGTATGGGCCCGAAGGCGCCAGAATCAGTGTTGTTGAGAATCAGTTATCAGGAATCGGTTATCCGCGGGTATCAGATTCAGTATTTTGGGAACAGAAATCTGGGAACAGTGATCAGCAGTAGGGTACAGTTGTTTGGCCACACCCGTGTTTGATCAGTTTGGGCTAAAATGCTGTCTGTTTTTCTTTCAGTTCAGAGAGTTGCAGAGTTGATACAGAAGTTTGATGGTGCTACCCGCAAGTAGGCTAAGACGTGGATTTGCCACCCTCGGGTGGGCTTAGAAAACATGATTTTGCCACTATCTAGTGGGCTTAAAACACACATTTGATGAATTGTTCCAATTCAAATAACCCAACCTTCACCCACAAGCATTCAGGCAGTTTATATCACATAAGCACATAGCCTCATGGTAAGCATACTATCATGGCATTCACTCACCTGCATGCAAGGATGCTAAAGCGTAAAACTTACCGAGTACTCCAAGCCAAAACAGAAGCTAGGTTAGAAATCCATGCATGATCCTAATTATACGGAAATGCCTAATGCAACACATGCAAAAATGCAACTATAGCAGGCTCGGCTATTCTAGACATGGCATATGAAATGCTACAGCTAACATGTATTCAACTTGGAATTGAAAATACAATGCAGTTGTATGATGCGCCGAGCCCGGTGCATGCAAAACAGATGAATGAATGCAAACATGCTATATGCTATCATGCTAATTGAAACATGCCCTAATCTAACCATCATAAGAGGGTAAATAAAAGGGAGAAAGACGTGGGGTTGGAAGACATACATCACACGCACGCACACTTATTACAGTTGTGCCCTTGCGCAGAGCGTCCGAATAAATAATATACAGTCCCAAATGAATAATTACAGTCCAAATATGTACAAAACCCTAATTAACTAACAAATCAAATTAGGAAAGCAATAAATTGGCATGCAAGCCAGGGACTGCTTCAAATCTGCTCCGGGTGATGAATGATGCATGCTCGGGTTGCCTTGTGCGGAGAATCCCTCACGATGCCCCGGTTTGCCTCTGTTTGCAATTGTTCTTGGAATGCATGCCAAACTCCGGAAGGCTGCAAATTTCTGATTTGCTGCAATAGAGAGCAACAAAGGGGCATGGCAAAGTATTTTCACATATGTATGCATGACTACTCTTCGGGGAGTGTAGTCCTTGATCCACATGCCACCAATCACGCATATCGATGCATGATGGCCGGGGAGTCGATTTGCACTACTTAATATGAAATGAATGCACACATAAACACAACAAGACCTAAACTCCATCATGGATAATCCGGAGTGTCGGTGACTGGGAATTTAGACACGTTCCGTCACTCGAAGTACGAAACGTCCCTCATTTCCTGTGCTCGGGCTAACTCCTATCCCAAACACAATGCAATATGCATGACACGCATGAATGCAACTAATATACAACCTAGCATGTACAATGCTATGAAATGGCACGCGCGATGCACGGGGTAACATGGCATAAACAATGCGCTAACATACAACATAGTATACACAATGGCATGAAATAAAATGTCATACACAATGCACAATGGACTTACACCAACATGAGTGGACCTCAGCCACACTCACATCGGTAGCCAAGAGATGAAACATGAGACACTCGAGACGCGTGCACACATGCACGTAAACCGAGGACCAATCCTAAGGCACAAATGCCACTCTAACAAAGCATGGCAAGGCATGGAATGTGGCATACAAGCATGTAGATTCCAGCACTGAAATGTGATGCAAAACAGCCCCGAAACATGGAAACATGGCACCCGATGCATGGAATGAACCCCAAAATTCGAAACTAGGCACATGGAATGACTTACAACTATACAAAGCATGCATTATTTGACCATGAAGCATGAAGACAGATGCAAGAAAGTCCCAAAACATGCATATTTCCAGTTTATAACAAATCCCAAAGATGAATGCAAATAGGGCTAATCTATCATGCCAAAATGGCCCTAAAACAGAGATTAAACACAAAGGGACAGCATCTGACCCCGAATGGAAAAGAGACCTTCAATAAAGTTGAAGAGGGGCTCAAAAAAGGGAACTTTATAGATTACATCAAGCCACGAAAATAATCACAAATAAGGCCAAACTATCATGCAAGAAAAGGCCTAAAAGAGGGGTAAAGAGACAAGTGGCAGCTTCTGTTCTAAAATAGAGGAGATCCCTTCAACAATGTTGAAGAGGGGCTCAAAAAAAGATATTTCACAGTTTATGGAAAGGTCCAAAACAGCTCACAAATAGGCTTAAAATACTATGCAAAAATTGGCCTAAAAGAGAGATAAAGAAGCAAGTGATATCAGGAGGCCTCAAAAATATGAGAGCCCTTCAACAATGTTGAAGAGGGGCTCAAAATAAGTCATTTTATAGTTTATGGAAAAGTCCAAAACAACTCAGAAATAGGCCTAAAATACTATGCAAAAATAAGGCCTAAAAGAGAGTTAAAGAGGCAAGTGATAGCTGCTGGCCTCAAACAGAGAAAGACCCTTAATCAAACATGAAAAAGAGCTCAAAATAGGACTATTTACAGTTTGGGTTGGTGCCCAAAAATGCTAGAAAGTATGGCTTAGATACAAAGCAAAACAAGGCAAGAAAAGAGGAAGAGAAGACTCACCCTTGAAGACCAATGAACCAGCAGCTTTTGGTTGAAGAAATGGCGCTCCTAACCTCTGGAAATAACCTCCAAGTTGATGGAATGGAGTATGGAGGTGTAGTGCTATGAGGTGGTGTAGAAATGGTCCAAGAACAAAGGTGTTTTGAGGCTTGGAAGAGAAGGAGAGGGAGGATGAATGCAAGAGCTCAAAACCAAATCTTGTAACCCTGAAAAATGGAGTTGGGGGGCTGGTTTTATAGAGGAGAGGAGGGAAGAAAAAGGGGGGAAATCAAATTCAAATTTCCCCCCAAAAGGGCACCCCTCGGATACAGGGTCTGGGGGGGAAACAAAATACACAGCTGGAAGGAACCAGGTGAGAGGATTCTGGCCGACCAGGTTCAAAGGTCCAGGGGGCTGGCCGGCCACCTCCCCTGGTCGGCTGACCAGGGGTCAAAAGGGTCAATCACAATTACTGGTCGGCCTACCCAGAAAGGTGTCCTCCTAGATGAGCACAACACAACTATGTGGTTGAAACCCAGAAAAAAGTGAACCAGGAGAGAGAAAAGACTATTTTTTAGAGGGGGTCAAAAGGGTCAGGAACAATTACTGGTCGGCCACCAAATATTGGTGGCCTCCCAGGTGTGTACAACACAAATATGGGGTTTAGGGTTCAAGAAAGTGGCCCCAGGGTGGTCAACATTGGCTTTTTAGTGAGAAAAACGGGCGTCGGAGAGAAATGAAGAAATAAAGCTGGTTTTTCGGAACAATTGCTGGCCTCCCACCCTCCTACAAGCTTCCTAACAATGAAAATAAAGTCTCCATAAAAAATGAACAAAAACGGATGCAAAACGGAGGTTCGGGGGACCGAAACGCGCGGCCCGGGGCCCCGAAAATGGGCTGTTAAGTACCGGAGGTGGCGTTCGAACACGAAGTTGGTCTCTCGGGCCACAGTGTTCCTCAAAAGGGAGGAAATAAGGTGCATACCAAAAACCGGAGCAAACGGAGGTGGTTAGGTGGTCCCGAACCGAGGCACACGGCCGTCGGCTCCGAAAAATCAAAAACCGGGCTCCAAACGGGAAAAATGGCCTACGACCACAAAACGTAGCCTACGACCACTGAGAGATGATCTACAAGACCTCTCCCTCCCTTCGGGAAGAGAAAACAGAGAAAACAGAGCCTGGTTCGCAAGCCGAGGCAAGGCACGAAAGAGTCCGGAAGTCTGGAGGCAAGGCTCGCAGCCGAGACTCTGAAACTTCTGAACGAGCACGATATGCAATATCACCGAGTGCTCAATCAGTGACGTCTGAGTCTTAAGGTCGGTCAAAAATGGGGTGTCTACAATACTCTACTTCACAAGTAGACAAAGCGAAAATTGCTTGCTTTTTAGATGACCAAGTGAATGCAGCATTTCCCAAGAAGAAAGCAAAACCTGAAGTACTCTTTCTTTCATCTAAGTCTCTTCCCCAATCACTATTAGAGTATCCAACGAGTGCAAAATCATGAGTCCATGAATAAAGTAAACCATCATTGAGTGTACCTTTGATATAATGAAGAATCCTCTTTGTTGCATTGAGATGTGATTGATCCGGTACTTCCACATATCTACTGATCAGTCCAACTCCATAAAGTATGTTTGGTCTAGTGCAAGTAAGGTACCACAGACTTCCAACCAAACTTTTAAAGTAAGTTGGATCTATATTGCCACCATTGGTGCTCTTCCTTAGCTCTAACCCACTCTCTACCTGAGTGTTTATCGGATTACAAGACTCCATCCCAAATCTTTTGAGTATCTCCTTTGCATAGCCATTCTGAGAAATGAAAATTCCATTTTCCCTTTGCACAACTTCAATACAAAGAAAGTGAGACATCAAACCAATATTTGTCATTTCAAACTCCCGAATCATACTCATCTTGAATTCCTTCAACATCTTAGGATTGTTTCTCGTGAAGATCAAATCATCAACATAAAGACACATAAGTAATACATTTCCATTGGCATCCATCTTCACATAAAAAGCATGCTCTTTCAAATCCATTCTCATAAAAATACTTGTCAATTCTAACATTCCATGCCCATGGCACTACAAGAAATTGCGCTTTTAGCAACCACTTTTGGCGACAATGTCAATTTTTCATAGCAAAAAGTATATTTTTGGCGACACAGTGATCAATTTTGTTGGAAAAAGTAGACCTTTAATGACACAATTTACTATCATTGCTAAAATTGTATAATATTCACTAGGGGTCTAAATTTGTGGTTAGTGCCAAAATTTTGAAAATTTTAGCGACGAAGGTTAATTTTTCGCAACATGATAAGCGTTGCTATTAGTCTGTTTATTTTTTGCGACAAGAAGTTGGCGTTGGCAAAGAATTAAACATTTAGCGACGACAAAATTATTTGTTAGCAAAAGTTGAGATGGTTTTGATTTTCTAAAACTTGTTTCAGATTTCTTTTAAAAGACTAAAAACTAGTCTTGTGAAATTTTTTAAAAATCAAACAGTTTGTTTGGTTTTGTTTTTTAGAATTTACTTTTCAAAAAATTTTACTTCCTTATTTTTTATATATTTTTATTTTTAACGATTTTTTTTAATATTTTAAGCAAATTTTGTTTAAACTTTTATACACGCCTAACGTAAATACATTTAAAAAGTATAATTTTTGTGAAAAAAATCTTTAAAAAATTCACTAAATATAAAAAATACAAAAACATAATAATAATAAATTTAGCAAACTTTTTTTTGTATTTTTGTGTATTTATTAATTTTTTAAAATATTTTTTCACAAATATTTTACTTTTTAGATACATCTAAGTAAGGTGCATCTAAAAAAAAATTTAAAATTTTTAAAATATTCACTAAAAACAAAAAAAACACCACCAAAAAAAAAACTCAATTTAAAAAAAAAATTGAATTTAGAAAACTGAAACCAAATGCACTGAAAAGTACTTATCAATTTTATATAATTTTACAAAGTATATGAATTATTTTTAATTTTAAAATATATTTAAAAACAGTAGAAAGCTTTTTTTTGGATAAGTAAAAAAAAAAATAAAAAAAAAATAGGAAGTTGAACTCAAACCAAATAGGGACCTTCTCTCCACAATTTTCACCTTGTGTAGCTATTCTCTCACGATTGGAAGTTCTCTTCCTCTCACAATCGCATGACCGTGTAGATATTTGTCGACCATCGGGTTTTTGCCATTTACCATTGCTGTGCTACACCATCGCCTCTTCATTCTGGCTTGGTAGGTTCGTCACCTCTTTGCTCTCTCTCTCGCTCTCTCTCTCAATTTGTTATCTGAATATCTATTCTATTTATTTTGTATTTCCTTCGTTTAAGTTATTTGTTTCTTTGTCAAGGGTTCCTAGCATAAGCTGTAATTCTATTTGCTTTCTATTAAGTTTTGAACTAGGGGAGAGCCATTATATCTCTAGTTTCTAGTTGGATTGCTAGGCTTTTAAAAGATTTTTTTTTCCTTGCTTATTTGACGATATTTCTTATTAGATTGCACTATAGGAACAATGTTTTTGATTGAATTGGTAAGATTGATTCTTTTTAATTCGTATTATTATTTTTTAATGCTATTTTTTTTTCTTTGTATTTCTTTTTTTTTTAAACTTTATTCTTATTATTTTTTTGAATACGTATCACCTACCGAATCTACAACCCTCAATTTTCTTAAAGTCTTGAAACTGCTTGATAACTTTGCTTCTTTATTGCAATCTTCTTGTCCATGTGATTTTGGTTTAGACTAATATTGTAATTATTAGTCTTGTGTGTGTCAGCTTGCAAATCTTGGTTAGTATGGATTTGGGATGAAGATGAACTGAGAGAATGTTGGTGGAGAGAGTACATTGTGGCCTAAGTTGAGATGTCCTTAGCATCAACAAGGAGAGAAGAAGTTAAGCTGGCTGAAACAGGAGTCTGAAAAAATCGTTTAAAAACTGTAAAGAGTAGTAATGCCTACAAATCTTTTCATTACTCAATTACTCGATTATTTTGAGAATTGAAAAACAGATAACAAGTCTTATAAATTTAATATAATTATATTGAACTCTTTTAACAAACCTGTGACGGAGCAAACCATACATGCTATTGAATTCTTGTTGAGATGGCTTTGGGTATGGTTGCAGATTAAACCAACTAGTTCAGTTCTCATTATTTATAATAGCAACTGATACAACTGTATGGTATTCTCATCACATTCACAAGGTTGAGTGATGTGATATCACTTCGAACTTTCTAAAGAGGCATCTTAATTCTCTTTATTGACTTAATTCTTTCCTGCGGGATAAATGTTTCCTTTTCCTAAATCTTGATTCATATATTCATTTATAAATCTGGCTTTGCCTTGATCTTGAATAGCAACCAGTGTAACCTTGCTTCCTTACATGTGTATGAGAGGTTTTTTTTTTAAAAAAAAAAAAAAAAAATCTTAATTACAAACCCTTAGGGTTATGTTATGAATTTTTTTCTCCCCAAATTTTGTTACCGGTCATTGTGGTCTATAGTGGGGAAGGAAGAGTGGGTTATAGTGGTAAAAGAAGCATGCATCATAAATTTTTTTAATTATGAATTATTGTGATTGTGTTATGAATTATGATTTTCTTATGAATTTTTGTGATTTTGTTACTAATCATTGTGTATTAGGGTGGTGGTAGTAGTTAGTTGGGATTAAATCTATGAATTATGCAAACCGATAAGTAGATGTACATCTATATTTTCCATGTTAAAGCCTTTCAAATAGAGAGAATGCAAAACTGCATATAAGGAGTAGATGTCTGACAATTCTTTTGGAAATTGGAATTATAAAAGCAAGGGAAAATATTATTCAATTAAATGTGGTTGTTTTCTTTATGCTAGATTTCATCTGAATAGGGACTGAGAGTAAGAACAGATCCTGTTTCCAGCCCAATCCATGGCACCCAGTTGGAATATCTTTATTCCTACTAAGTTTCAGGCATTCCTATGTAGGATGGAGGCAGTTGAGCATTTGTCTTCACATTGCCATACATAGCCACAGGTATATGGTTTTTTTGGTTCATCTATCTATTAAAGTGCGAGACTAATCTATTGCTGCACAGAAAAGGGGAAGGAAAAAAAAAAGGCTGAAAGGATAAAAAGAGCCAGTTGAGGGGGTTGTGAGCCCACCTCAGTCTCATTTTGATAATTTGAATAGTTCATCTTGTAGGGTTTACCAAGTAGATTGTTCATTCAAAAAATTAAGTTGATATCGAATTATGGCCTCAGGTCTCAAAGTGTGAGACTTGGAGCATGTGGTAGTTTCTTTACATTGGATGGGAATGACATTGATTGAGTTAGTGATCAATACTCTAGGCTATATTTGGTAAGCAGGAATTGGCTAAGTTAGGAATGATATACTTGTTAGTCTATAGGTTGAGACTTGGGAAGCTTTCCAAGGATCAATAAATTCTTACCAGAGGTTGCTAGTAGTAGAATAAATTATGTCTGCTATTTTAAAGCTACCTGATACTGATTTGATTGCATCCTCTTTTTTTACATTCTAAGCCATTTTTTATTTATTCTTTCCACTGCAATGTGTGTGGAATTTGATTGGCTTGTAGGTTCCATGTGTTGTATGTTTGGGTCCATACAAATGGAGAATGTTTACAACCCCGAAAATGAAGCAGGTATGTGGCAATGGCTATTTGCCAAGAGTATGGCTAGCATAGTTCTTCTCAATACCGGTTCAAGTGATGGATTTGTTGGAATTGCTGCTCCTTTTTTAGCCAGAATTCCCCCAGTTCATATCATGCCAAATTTTGGGTTTTTTTTTTTTTTTTTTTTTTTTTTTTTTTTTTCTAACTCTTGCTATTTGATCATGACTGTGAATTTATCTCAGATGTCACAAACTGATTTCTTTTTATGTTATTTGATTTGAATTATCTTATTTTTACTTATCAAAGTAATTGAACTTTTTTTTTGTAGATCAGCTTAGCAATATTTGGTGGTGAACTTTGTGTCAGGTACAGCTAATTTATTATCAATTTTTCTCTTGTTAGGCTAAGAAATTATTTGAAATTCTTTTTCCCCTTGTGTTACTATTGTTGGACAATCTTCACTGTATTTAAATAAGAAATTCTGTTTGTGTACTTAACAACAAATGGAGTATAGAAGAAATAAAGGAAATGAAAGTGATTGTTTGATTATAAAAATCAAACTAGAAAATAAAATAAAATAAATAAAATAGATTTTTATTTTGTTACAAAAACAAAATCAAAATCTGAAGCAGAAAAATAATAAAACAGAAAGTAAATTAATAACTTACCAAATTAATTTCTTAAACAAATTTTCTGATCAAGTCCAGTGTTTAACATTGTGTCCTTAAGACAGATTCGTCGTCTCCACGGTGCTTTCAGAATGTGGACGTCTATCTCCAGGATAAAATGATCAACAAGAAACAGTAGCAGCACTACGAACTGTTTGCACAACGAACACACTTTGTGTTTATACATTTTCTCAGAAGAAAATAATGCAGCAAAATCTAGAGAATAATTGCAGAATTTTTTGGACGAAAATTGGAGTAAAAAATTCAAATGAGGGACTGCCTTTTTATATAGGTGGAGTGGTGGCTGTTTGGTTTGAATTAAACTGGTACAATACCTGTTCAATTTAAATTAAACAAATACAAATCTGTTTGAACATGTAAGGCATTGTTTGGTTTGAATTTCAAACAGTTAAAATCCTATTTTGGGTGGATTTTAATTTGAACAAATTCGGTTATGATAGATAGGAAACTGTACATAATTTTTGAAGAAGTGCAAACCAAAATTTGAATTTTATTTCTAACCAAAATTTGAAATAAAAAACAAACAGATTTTATTTCTAAATAAATAAAATAAATTCAAATGTTTTGGCCCAAAAAGATAAGTATTGGGCCGGACAAGCCAAACCCGACCTCACACCATGCACCCGTGCCCAAGCCCAGGCCCAAGCCAGCCTAGCCCACCCGACAAGACAGACGGCGACGGCGGCGCGTGTTTATTTTGGGTCCAATAGGTCTAGCTCACTTTG